CTTCATATTTAGCCTTTGAGAGGTCCGTGCTTAGCATACTAGTGCAACTAATATTGAATCATTAAAATGGTTATTTTTTAAATCATTTTTCACATAGGGGTAACTATTAGCTAAGCTTGTGATTCGATTCAAACTTCATTAAGTTTTTCAAGTATATACCCTTTATGAAGTTTATGTGATCAAAAATGTCACTCATTTTTATATATACGATAAAAAGCGGGTTTCAATTAATCTCCTGAGATAACATTGTTGTGGAAAATTTCATTTATTATTAAAATATATGATGCGGAGATTCGGGGCTTTGGCAAAAATGAATCTCAGCTCCCATGATGTTCGTCATATGATGAACGAAAGCTTAGCCAGTTTTCGCTCGAAATGAGGGAGGATGTTTCGACTACGTCTACCTGAACGTCGTATCAATCCTAAATTGCTGCGATACAACGAGAATCAGTATTTTTAGTAAGATCGAATTACGAATCTCATGTATTTTTATACAAATTGAAAGTGTCCACAACAATGTAATTCAGTCTTGATTATCATTGTAGATATTGTTTACAATTTGGGACATTACTTGCTACCACCATAGCCAAATGTAGATTTTGCTTAGTTTTTGGATGTTCATTCCTAAATTTAGATCGTTCCGCTAGTTGCTATTGATATCCAATCTTCGATTATCCGTGAAGTCTCATTATCCTGCAAAACTTTAGGTTTTAGTTTACTATCTAGTGTTATGCATTTGTTATATGTTTGCTCCTTATTTCGGGACCCACAGACAACCTCAGATTATTTGTGCTCAAATATTCCTCTTCTATTTGCATCGAAAGATATCCCTAATGTGGATGCTACCTTGTGAGAAGGAAAGAGGATCATAAAAGTTCTTGTATTTCTTAGACTCTATTTCTTCAGTAGTTCGCCTATCTTTTACGAAAACAGATTGGATGCTGATATTATGAATACAGCAGAGTTGTAAAACTCCTTATTTTGTCATAAATAGTGGTCTCCTATCCTATATCTTAAAAATGTAGACTAATTTACAATTAATTATGAATGATTGTTCTTCACTAAAACTGATCATAACTCTTCTAACTATCCCAACTATTTAGATATACTAGACACAGACTTCCCATTATCATTTATTTTATAACTCCATAAGTATATGCAGGAAAAAAATTAAACAATTTCACCCCTGTGGCTTTTACACAAACATTTCGATGCAAATCCCTTTGCTAACTTGGAAACGTAAAAGTCTTTTATTTTTTTGGACTGCTTCACGAATTCACTCGTGACATCTATTTTATTTGAATAAGAGGAACACTTGTTGAAAATGAGGAAGTAACTAACTCAGGCCATTGTCTAGGATTATGACTAGGGAGAAAAATCATGAAGATACATCGAATAAGAAACCTGATTAACCTCAAATCTAGTTTGGGCCTCAACATCTCAATTGTCACTAGCATTTCAAACAAACGAACGGCCAACACGTGGTCACTTTAATTTCGTATGAGACTGCCTGAAGAGGAGAATACCTATTCTAAAATGAGCATTATTAAAGCTTGCGTCTGTCCGTAATCAATGACGTAGGTTGGGCTGTTGAGCAACACCTGGCTATTTGGTTTATTTATCAGATTAAACTGAAAAATGGTTTGAGAGTTTGACATTCTGAAATTTGGTGGTTTCGTCAGGGAGATTTTTATGAAAGCATCTTATCTGACGCCTGCCATAGATATGATAAGTTTCAGCGTCATAACTTCGACTTTGTATGTTCCTTAATGTTCCGCTGGCATGGTCCGCCAGTCTTGACATCAGCGCCAAGCTACAACGCTTTTAGATAAGTCCGGTATAAAAAAGTTAGGTTTTGCAATGGAGGGAAGGACACATTGTTGTATATGTGCCCAGACTACAATCATTTGACAGAAATTTGGTCAAGGGCTGGACTTCAATGTCACTGATGAGTTGTAGCTTGGTGGTAAGAACGGCAGGACTCACTGACGATGCCGGCGAGGTATCTCGGAATCTTCCAAATCCACTGTCTGGTGCGGGAAATTATCATCACTTATATGTGAAATGACTTCAAATAAAGATCGTTTATCCAGGTATCTGACAAGTAAAGATAATGTAATCAAGCCACATCTATGCAGCTGAAAAAGACTGTAACGAAACTAGAGTCCACTCCATCTTCATTAAAATTTAGGATTTGATTTTCGCCAACCATTATTTCATATTGACTAGTATCCTAAATACTTTTATGTGCACCTTTGTACTCATATTTATCGCTGGTTCTCATCAAATTGAACTATATATATATATATTACATATCTCATTCACTAATACAAACTTTATTATTCCAGGAAGAGCTTCTTCGCCCAGCCACTGCTTCCATAATGGCTCCCACCGTTGAAGTATCAACAGGTACTCATTTCTCTCAGCTAGAAGTTGCTGCAGACTCTCAAGGAGGTATAGGCCTCTCTAAATCTATGTACGATAGCACGGCGTCATCTCCAAGGGTAAACCAAACGCCTTTATTAGAAGCAGTAAGTTTAGGAGCAAATACCTCATCTGAAGAATCATCTGATAAAGCTCAATCAAAAGGCATTCGTGATTCGAGGCATTTTCCACTGCAAGTTGTTGCTGATAAAGAATCTGCAGGTATCTTGTTCGTTTCTTTTCGATTTGTCCTCATTTCTGTTGTGATGATACTAATTGGCCTAGAGTTCTACAAACTCTACATAGGAAATTTTTCATCTTAAAAATTTCTTTGTGATTCTAGC